TCAAGATTAGAATCTATTTTCCTGGGGTTTAATTGATGGGAGAGCTTTCCAGAAAAGTAAAAGCAATGCAAAGAAAAAGAGAAAATTTATTTTTGGCTCCAGACATAATACGCTTTCTCCTCCCCCAGATTTCAAATTATTTGATGCTTATTATGTGCTGCCTTGAAACAATCCTCTAAAAATAGTGCTGAATAAAATATTATATTTTAAATAAGTCATTGACATTCATGATTTCCAAAAGGAAAAAAATGGCTTTGTGTTTCTGAAATATTTAAAGATATAAAAGTGTATGTCTAGGGCCTGGAAAATAAGTCATTTGATATAAAATGCAATAACCTTTAAATTTCCTTATGTACATCTTCTACTTAAGAAATTAGTTTTCTCAGGAGGAAAATGCAACAGAAAAAATAATGTATGTAAAATTAGTAACTTGATTTGTAATAATCTGAAATTACTAGCTAATTCTGAACTTCAGTCTTCTGTATTTTATTTGCATAACAATACTACAATTTACAAATGTACTTGATTGGTATTGAGACGATTTAAAGGAAGTTTTTTGTTTAACATGGTTGATTGTGTCAAATTCTTCTTTTTGATTGCCCATCTAAAACATGTGGAATAAAATAGTGGAAAAGATAGCAGTTTGTATTTTCATATTCCTCTTTTCTAATTCAAGTCAGAAAAATAATTTAAGCCTCACTTGACACTTCTCCTATTATTTAAACATGACTAAACACTAGAATCTTAGAATTATAGTTAGTTGGAGACTGTTTTGGGCTTAGTTCAAGATTCTGACATTATCAGATACATGATTTACATTACTATACCACAGCAAAATCTGGCCTCAGATTTTGGTTTTGTTGCTCATTGACTCATCTTAATGGGGATAGGGAAGAGAGGGGAAAATAATTTTTACTTGTAGATCCCAAGAACATGAAATAACCATCTAATTTTACAATAACCGAAAACAATAGTTACAGTGAAATGGGACATAGACATAAATTGCTACTCTTCATTCTTTCCCTTTCCCTCAGATCAGGTGTTTGAGGGGACACCTGGTTTCTGAAAGGAAAGAAATGACTTTGTATTTTCCCTTCCCCTCAGATCAGTTGTGGGGACAACTCTAAGTAAATAGTTAACTCTGTAATAGGTAACTCTGACAAAAGTTACCATTATCACCTTTGTTTCCAAATCCAATATGCCCACCTGTGTCCAATTACTCAATGCAACTTAAGATGCCATTAACTCTGATTTACTGTTCGAGAGGTATTTCTTTCTGGGTTTCTGCCTACATAAGTGATGTTTTGTTTGTTTGTTTGTTTGTTTTTTCCCTTGGCTCCCTTACCAGGTCCTTTTACTCTACGTTACAAAATAGTGGTGTTACCATGGTTTTTACCATATATACTCAATCTCTTCTACTTTAATACATTTTCCTGGGTAGCCCCATTTGTTCTCCTGATTTCAATTTCCAGCCAATGTTCATAACTTCTCCAAATGTATATGTCTAGCCCACATTCATTAAAATTTCTGGGACATATAAAGATACCTAAATTAAGAATATGGGACATTTCAAAAACAATACCTTAGAAGCACATCAAAAGTAACATAACAAAAACAACCCATTTTTCTTCCATTTTCACTATGAAACATAAATACATACATAAACCTTCCTAGTTCTGTCTTTTGTATCTCAGCATATATCATCATGAACTACTTTCCCCCTTTTCCCAAGTCACCAGAAGGAGGTGAGTGACTCAGGAATTATGTTATACCATTTTCTCTTTTGGTCCCAGTTTTAGTTGGTAGTAAAATCCTATTACTTCTGTTTCAATATATTATCTTCTACCAGTCTATTATCACCTCTACATTTTTAATTTTTTCTCACTTGACTATTTCACAAAATGTGTTTCTTTTTTTCTACTATATAGTAAGATTTCTAATATTAGCTATATAATTTATATTTTAAATATAATTGACCAAGATTACTTTCTAGTCCACCACCTACTTACATAACTAGTTTATGCACAAAAAAAGAAAAACAGATCCCTTCTTTAGACACCTTATTCCCTTTGACTATTGCCTTAGAAAAGATACAAATCTTATAAGGATGAGACAAATGACACCCCTGGAACTATTCAGTATAATACTTGCAAATAAGAGCATCACTCGTTCTTCATAGTATGGATCTGTTCACGTTGATGTCCTGTTTAAACTCTTACAGAATTTTCTTTTATCTACCACATTAAATTTACTCTTCATAAAAGAAGATATTCTCTAAGATTTTATTTCTATAGAGATCTCTTTGCTTGCATGTCTTCCCATGCTCTACTATTCGCCAATATTTTTAAATTCCAACTTTACAGAACTATATATAGACCCATACATTTTTGTTCACAATGTTTCCAAATACATAATCCTTATATCATTGCTTCAATTAATCTTTATTTAAACTCTACTTTTACAATTTTTCTGATAAAATCAACCATATCCTTTTCCATATGCTTATGAACAGCTCCATTCTAATATCTATGACAATGTATTGAATGGCATTTGTAAGTCTTATTCCTTGTATACCTCAGGACTCCTGCAACCAAGGATGGTCTTACTTGTTTTTTGTCCCCATGGCAAAAATGAACCATATATTTTTGTTGGATTAATTAATTAATTAATTAATATAACTGTACTAATTAATAATGTTAGGCAAAGAAGAGAAAAGGTGGGAGTTAAAATAGTTCTGGTTTCTAATACCATGCTAGATTCCTTACGTATACTAAACGATTATCAAACATAAGAGAAATTATATGGATTATGGATGCCTTTCTCATTTTCCAGAAAAGTAACTGAGGCTCACAATGGTTAAGTGACTTATCCAACGTTTTAGACAGCTGCTTTTTTTAATATATACTTTAATTTCTGAGATACATGTGCAGATCATTCGGAATTGTTATGTAGGTATACATTTGCCATGGTGATTTGCTACCTCCATCCCCCCGACCCCTACATTAAGTATTTCTCCCAATGTTATCCCTTCCCAATCTCCCTGGCCCCCACTGACCTTCCCTATCCCCCCACTCTCCAAAGATCTGACTGTATGATGTTCCCCTTTCTGCGTCCACGTGTTCTCATTGTTCAACACCCCACTATGAGTGAGAACATGCAGTGTTTGGTTTTCTATTATTGCATCTGTTTGTTGAGAATGATGGTCTCCAGATTCATCCATGTCCCTGCAAAGGATATGAACTCATCCTTTTTAGTAGCTGCATAATATTACATGGTGTATATGTGCCATATTTTCTTTATCTAGTCTATCATTGATGGGCATTTGGGTTGATTCCATGTTTTGTTATTGTAAACAGTGCCACAATGAACATACATGTGCATGTGTCTTTATAATAGAATGATTTATAATTCTTTGAGTATATAGCCAGTAATGGGATTGCTGGGTCAAATGGTATTTCTATTTCTGAATCCTTGAGGAATTGTCACACTGTCTTCCACAATGGTTGAACTAATTTACACTCTCACCAACAGTGTAAAAGCATTCCTATTTCTCTGCATCCTCTCCAGCATCTGTCCTCTCCAGACTTTTTAATGATTGCCATTCTAATTGGTGTGAGATGGTATCTCAATGCGGTTTTGGTATACATTTCTCTAATGACCAGTGACGGAGAGCATCCTTTCAAATGTGTGTCGGTCACATAAATGTCTTCTTTGTCTGAGAGAGACTTTATTTTTTCTTTATTTAGGAAGCTGACTTTGGCCATATATAAAATTCTTGGCTGGCATTTGTTTTTTCCTTTAAGAAGAATAAAAATAGGCTCCCAATTTTATCTGGATTTTAAGGTTTCTCTTGAAAAGTTTACTATTAATCTGATAGCATTTCCTTTATAAGTAATTTATTTCTTTTTTTTTTAGCATTGACTTTGGATAGTCTGATGACCATATGCTTTGGCGATGGTTATCTTATATAGTATCTCACAAGCGATCTCACAAGCGTTCTCTGAATTTTTTGAATCTGGATATCCACCTCTCTAGCAAGATTAGGGATATTTTCCTAGATTATTCTTCCAAATTTGTTTTCCACATTGATTATTTTTTCTTATTCTCTTTCAGTAATGCCTATAAGTCAAAGGTTTGGTCACTTTACATAATCCCACATTTTTTGAAGTCAATATTCATTTTTTAAAATTCTTTTTTATTTATTTTGTTCTGACTGGCCTTATTCAAAAGACCACTCCTCAATCTCTAAAATTCTTTCTTCTGCTTGGTCTAGTCTATTGTTAAAGCTTCAAACTATATTTTAAAAATCACTTGGTGAATTTGTCAATTCCAGCTCTATTTTTTAAATATAGCTAATCCATCTTTCATATCCTAAATTTTTTTTATGTTTTTGTGTGTAGTGGCTTTCAACTTTCTCTTGCATATCAATGAGTTTCCTTGCAGTCCATAATTTGATTGATTTATTTGTCATTTCAGACTTTCCATTTTGAGTAAGAGTCATTGCTAGAGATCTAGTGTAATCCTTGGGAGGTGTCAATATACTCTGTTTTTTGTACTGCTGGAGTTCTTGCACTGATTCCATCTCGTCTGAAGGAGCTATTGCTTCTTATTTTTGAATCTGTCTATTGTTTGAATGGGACTTTTATATTTTTAGATTCTCATTTTCCATGAGGGAATGACTGTAGTGTATGTTTGGTATGAATGCTTACCTTTATTTCTAGGTTGTTTTAGAAGGCCAAGTATTTGTATGGGTTCCTTGGTGGTGGTTTTTTTTTGGTTTGGTGTTTTCATTAATACTACTTGTTTTCACAATGTATTGGATGCATCAACTAACAACTGTCTCCTTCAGGGCTGAGCATGTGCAGGTATCAGGTTGCTTATCCACTGCACTAGCACTATGCCCTTTTGGAAGCAGGTTTTTTTATTTGGTTGTGCAGTTCAAGATTCAGTTCAGTGGGTGACAATTATTGGTAAGAGCTTGCTTGCCCTCAGGTAAGCAATGATGGGTAGAAGGCCTTGCTCTCATGGGACCAGTGGTGGTGGGAGATTTTGTTGGGGTGCTCTAAGATATCCTGGACTGGACTTGGGGAGTGCAACACCTCTTCATTGTGGGAAGATGAATGCGATCCGCTTCCTTTTCACACTCCTGTCACAGGGCTCAGGACTTTCAGTCTATATAGACTTTGTCCTTTGGCTCCAAGCCACAGCGTGGCTATGGACTACAAATATGCCCCTCTAGAGGCTTTCAACCAAATGGGCCAGGGCAGAGCTTTTCCCTGAGTCCAGAACTGACTACTCTGTGGCTTGTTTGCCTCTGTTGCTGGGATGTTCTGTGTAGGAAGCAGGAATCGAGCCCCACCCTTCATGCAAGAACTAGCTACACAGGCTCACTTTCAGTTGTCATAGAAGTCCCCCAGAAGGTCTGAAGTGACTTTCCCCCAGTGCATACAACTGCCCCAGTGAGAACAGTGTCTGCTGTGTCTGCAACAGTGAACAAGGAAAGCAGGAGATGACCCCCTCTCCATGTCTTTGTAAGTTGCTTTCTGAAACTCATTTATGTTTTATTTTTCACACTAATAGTTATAATTACTTGCATTCATAGGTATTTAAGTATTTTTCTTTCATAATAATCTGTGTTTTACAGCTGTGTCAACAATTCATAAAACATAATAATATGAGGAGGAAATGAAAAAATAAACAAATTAATCTCATTATCATCTGCTTCAAAGATACTACTAAAAAGTTACTAAGAAAGAGGAATGAATTCAGTAAATAGCTTCACAAGTTTTATTTAGTAGTTTGCAGTACTTATCACTGCTTCTCAATCACCTTAAAATCTGTGACAGTTAAAACAACATACACCTGAACTAGTTAATACTTTTAAATGTTCTGCCTTAATTCATTATCTTCATGCATATATATGTTTATAATATATTATTTAATTTAACTTTTACTGAGATTACTTTTGCTATGTTTGGTTATTTGCTATCTCTTCAGTGCCTCCCTTTACCCCATATCTTTTCCAGATTACAGATAATCGTAGTATTTTATTTCCAGGGCAAGAATTTATGTTTTAAAAATTCAAGAATTTAAAAAATTTTCTCGCAACAATGATTCTGTGTTTAAGTATTGTGTTATGCAGTATTAATTTTCATCTTTTTCCTTGTAATGTGTTTTAATCTGCTTTGAAGGTAAGCTTGAAAGCACCAAAATTATTGATATTTCATGTCTTCCATGACACTCCTGCATTGATTGTTAAGGTGTTGAAACTTCTACCATGTAATTTTTTCCTCTACACTCATAGAGAGGCTTATGGTAAACTTCTGAAGCATCTTATTAAAACAGGTTTCTTGCATCTAGGCCCTCAAACTTAACCCTTTTTTCCAATATTTAGAAAAGGCTTTTTGATTTAACACAGGTCTTTCTTGCCTCAAATTTTATTTAAAATTGTGATGCAAATATAATTATCTGTAGTGAATCTCCCTAACCTTTTCTATATTGAAAGCATTATGCAAGCATTTACATTAATTTAAACAATCCTTTTAGATAGCAATTTTATGAGTCAATATTTCTTTTCAAAAGAATGTTTGGCAAACTACAATTCTGGAAAATATATTAAGATTAACATTGTAGTTTCTAAAAATGCTTGTATTTGTACTATGAAGCCGAAAATGTATGTATGTACATTATTAAAAATAAAAAACTAGTTATTTTTAAAAATAACTTGAGTGCTCAAAAATGTAAATATCATATTTTATTATACAATATTAGTATTGATAAAAGATTAATATCATACTAATATAAATATTATCCATTAATACTTATACTAAATAATATTTTGAGTGGTTACTATAATTTTATATCTGTTTTCTCATTTAATCCACCCAAATATTATAACAAGTAGTTACTATTGTTATCAGCAATCATAGATGAAGAAATCGGGATGTAAGCATGTTGTTCAGGTCACATCTAATGAGTAATGAGGCTGGAATTCGAATCTATGTTCATATTATTCTTAAGCCTCATCTCTTAAATACTTATAATTAATATATAATATATTCTTTGAGTTGGCCACCTAGTATATCCCAGAATGTAAAATTACAGAAAGTTTCAAGTTTTGTGTTAATGTCAGTTTTAATCAACATAAAACATGTATAATATTTGATTTAAACTTTCATTACATTTATAATCCAATTTGGAACAGTGAATTCCATGGTAAATGTTTAAATACATTTTACATGTTCTATCCACTTATTTATAAGAGCATGAATCTTTGCTGAGTTATGCAAGGCAGAAAATTACAGTTCTTCCTATATTTAACCCCTTCCCTTAAGTTCCTTTGCCAAATGCTCCTTCCCTTTTATTTTCTAACTTTTAAACCTGTTAATTCTGCTTCATCCATTCTAATACTAATGCCACCATCTCATCTCATCAGGTCGTGACTGGATACATGCATATGTGTTTTACTGGTTTCCTTTGCCCATAATTTATTGTCACTGCAATGTAGCCCTGCCAACCCAACCCCTGCTGTCTCAATTTTGTTTTTAAAAAGGAAATCTCTAGTTTTTATTCTTTGTTGAAAAGCTACAGCCTTATTGAGCTCCAGTGACTAAATCCCCACCTACCACTACTTGACTGTTGCAGTCCCTAAAGCCCACCAAATTGCAGAATACTTGCTGGTTCTCAAACCACTAGATTACTTCACAATTTGGAATTTCACACGTATCCATTGCCTGATGTCCTTAGTATCTATTACTCTTGGAGACTTAGTTTCAATATCAAGCAATGAAGCCTTTCTAAAATACCTAGGAAAATCAATAATCCAGTTTTTCATGCCACCTTTGTGCACACTGCTTTCTGTTGTTACCTTTTTCAAATTATTTCACTATTATTTCTCTATGCATTTATTCATTATTTCAACAAGTATTTATTGGGTATCTACTATGTGTATAGCTCTTTGCTTAGCACTGAAGTTATACTTTGCTGTGGCACCCTGGTTAAACTCCACAGGGAAAAGATTGACACAAACAATCTCTATGAAGGACACATAAATAAATAGTTTGAGGGTACATCATGCCTGTGACTGATAGGAAGAAGATGTAAACAAATGTCTATTGAAAGAAAGAATACCTTAAATATTAGTTTGTAAGAGATACAGTTTTAGTGTTTGTTACAATAGTTAGAAAAGGCTTTCATGAATATGGGCAACTGTCTTGCATGTTCTGCACATGTACCCCCAAACCTAAAATGCAATAAAAAAAAAGAAAAGGCTTTCATGAATATGGAATGAAAGCTTAGACTACACTATTTTACAAAGTGATCTTAAAAGTAACTACTAAAATAATCTAGTAACACTTTTAGAGTCATTTAGAATAGAGTAAAATAATCTCAGCCTAGCTAATAGGATATTCCAATAAAACTGTTGTGATGTGGTAGGACTCTTGATTATGGTGAGAATAGGTCAGAATGAATGAATCAACACATTTGTATAAAGAATAATATCTAGAAATAATGACAATGTATATTTGAAATAAAAGAATATTAAAAATGTCTTTAAATTCTCTAGTTTGTTATATTCATAGAAAAATAGAATGTGCAAATGAAATATTTTAAGATATCTAATTTATTTCAAGAATTTGAGATAAACTGGAACTGCTCTTCCCAGTTAATATGTGAGATGACCAATTTAGGAGGGAGAGCAGGCTGGAAATGTGAATATACTGAACACCATGATAGTCATGTTGCTTAATGACTTAAGAATAGATAGTAAGAGAGGTTCCTCTATCATACCCCTGCATTCTCTGGAAATATATATGCTACATTAAAATTTGCATTTCTATTTCCATATGCTTTGTATGACCAATGGCAGAAACTGTAAAGAATCCTAGGAGAAAAATGGTCTGCATTTGCTTCATGCTAGTTGCAAAGCCCATGTATGAAGGAAAACATATTACTTCTAATTCTACGTGACCATCACCTGCATGAGTCCCTGTGACACCTCCTAAATCCATCTAAGTGCTAAGTGAAGTTTGAATTTATTATTTTCAAGTCTGATTTAAAGGCTCTTCTTTTTAAACTTGACACTGTATACTGTGCCTTAAATATTTAAGTAAGGCTCTTTCGAAGATTGAGGAAGAAACACTCCCACATCAAAAGGATCTAATGTTTAATTCAGTGAGGTAAACTTTCTCAAACCCTGAAGCTTATGTGAAGCTGTTTAGAATTTTTTCAGAGGTCTTTTATCTCTAAATCGAAATAGAAATTAAAAAGAAAATTATAGTAATTCTTCAAAATAAAAAATCTTCTGTCAGAGTTTTTTGGTTTCTACATGAAAGAAATAGTTACATGACAATTGTTTATTTATTTCTACATGAAACCAACATGTTCAAATTCTGAAAGAATTAGACAAGCTTGCTTCAGTCATACATAAAGGTTTGGAAAACGTATTATTCAAGCCAACTAAAATTCTTGCTAAAAAATTAAAATGAAGAAGAAAAATAATTAGTTTGAAAACTCCAGAATATACTTTGTAGATTTTGACTCTTCACTGACAAACAGAGATATAATCACCCACAAATTAAAAAAAAAAGATTTTCCTTGAGAGAGTTTATAGAATTTGCTAATTTTCTCTTTTTTGTCTCATTTAATGTTAGTTGTCAAAGACAAGTCCTCCCAGGTCCTTACTAATTAATCTCAACAATTTGTTTCTGAAATTTTTAAAACATAGAAATATTAGAAGAATCTCCATTGGAGTGATTCAAGAGAGTTCTAAAACATAGGGATTGTCAAAAATATTTAGATAGAAATCCTGCAGTTAATAGTAATTAAATGATGGCAGTCACTGTGATGATATGATAATTGTGATGATTAGACTGCTGGTTTGGAATCCTGGATGAATCACTGAAACTAGCTTGATGGCTTTTAGCAAGTGATGCGGCCTTTGAAATACTCACCTTTTTTTAAAAAAACCACATACTGTGGATATAAGGTTTAAATAAGATAACATATATAAATAATGTAATATTATGTCTCGCACATACCAAGCACATGCTAAAATGTTTCCCATGCTTTCTTAAGCCTTTGTCCCTTTGTCCTTGAAAATCCTAATTCTTTTGTTTATCAGGTTATGTGCCTGTGATAGACAAAGTTGTCTAGAATATTTTTACTGCTTTTAGCATGGCTTTTTCACCTTTCCTTCAATAAATGCTGGCTCATTTTAGGGTTCATTTTGAACACCGAGTCTAAAGGAATCCCCTCATAATCTAGACTGCTTATTATGATTTTAATAGCCTATGTATTCTTATTACTTATCACAATTTTTTTTTTTTAGCATTTCAGGAAAAGGTATTTAAACTGTGTCTTGAACATAGTTAATATTTTAAATTATTTGTAATGTTAAAACCTTTTCTATTTACTTTTCCCGCAGTTTTTAAGTTCTTGAGAATTGGACACTTGTTCAATTTTTACCATTTTATCTTGAAAACCTAAATGAAGCCTATATCTTATAAGAGCTCAATATTTGTTAATAAGC